TTTAATCAATCCTCTCCTGTTCCCTTGTCATCCTCATCTTTCTTATATGGAAGCTCCCATGTCAACATAGCAGAGAAAACTGCCATTATGAATTCGATATGGATTATTCCATATTCTTTTTTGTAGTACAGTTATATACCCATGCACATACACACATAATCACATGCACAGATTTGTATGTATATTTGTAAAATGGTAGAAGGATAGTGTCAGAACCTGTTTAACTTCAGGGAGACAATGTGAATCAAGATCAGCCCAAGGCTGATCACTATGAGGTGGAAGTCATACATACCTCCATTCTCCAAACTTTAAAAAAAATTTTTTTTTTAAACAATTCTGACCCCAGGCATCCCTCCCAGGGCCTTGTATACTTCTCTTCTGGGTTCAGTAATATACTGTAATGGTCACATAGCCCACACTTAAGGAGTTTATTTAAAAAGCAACAAGGATCAGGATCCGGAAGCATGCAGGCAAAGTCTGAAAGAGGAGAGCATTCTTCAGTGTAGGACAGCTCTCTAAGCTGCTCTAATTTACAAGCACACAGGCCCTTCTCTCTGCTGTACAGGCCTAGGTCTTCCCTGCCATTGGCCTCCACTGCTAAATGACTCAGCTCATAACCAGTGTAGAAGTTTCATTCAGCAATCTTAGCTGCATTCGTAGTAGCAGCTTTCTACTGTCACCATCAATTCTGCCACAGGGCTTTTTCCAGGCCCTCCCTGCCTTCAGTTTTGCAGTTCTTAATCTGTGTCACAGCTGCTTTTGGAGGTTCTTGCCTCTTCTCTCTTCTTGCCTCTCTTGCCTTTTCTCTGGTCCCGCTTCTTGCTTCCTCTGTGGGGTTGGCTGAATATATAAACCAACTTATCAATTTCAAGGCATGCTCCTCCCACTAGGGTCACAAACTGACCTCTTGGTTTATGACAGATAGTTCGTTTGCATAGTAGGCCATAGTCACTTCATTTGCATAGGCTATGGACCAATCCCTGCAAGGTTCAAACAAATCACAGGGCAGGTTGCAGCTCAGGGCAACCCAAAAAGTATCAAACCAAACATTATTATTTACAGCCTACCCAGGAAATATCCATCAACCTGCACAAAAGTGACAAACTCCGGAACGATCTCAAAACAATCAATTTCACCATAATATCTATCTATCTAAACATATATAATGGGGCTTCAAAAAGTTTGTGCAAAAATCACATTATTTTTCTATTCCATTTTCCATTAACTTTTTGAAGACCCCTTGAACTATTGGGTTTTGTGTGAATGTATGGGTCATCCTGTGCAGGGACCATGTTAATCTTCTCTGTATCATTCCAATTTTATATGTATATGTGCTGGCAATGCAAGCACATCAGTGATATGGTTTAAGAGCTGGTTATATAGCTAGTTCATTCATTTCAATTGCTTTATGGTTATGAATATAAATACACTACATTTTATCAAGTCAGCACCTATCAAAAGCTATTTAGATTATTTGAAATGTTTTATTATTATAAATAGTGTTGAAATGAACATCCTTATGCATGTCTTATAGTTTACATGTGAAAGCATTTATACGTAAAAGCACTTGACATGCTATATCATAATCTTTAAAATAAGCCCTTTGCCACTGAATTAATTCTGACTCGTAGCTACTCTACTGGATAAACTAGAACTGCCCCCAGGGGTTTCCAAGACTGTGATTTTTACAGAAACAGACTGCCACATCTTTCTCCTGCAGAATGGCAACCGCCAACCTCTCAGCAGCCAAACATTTAATCACTGCACCACCTAGAATGCCTTAGCTAGACCGTGATAGTGGTGTTGGCTAAGTGCCTTTGAGTTGGTTTCAACTCACAGTGATTCTGTATAGAGTTATCAAGGAGTGATTGGTGGGTTTGAGCCTCGGATTTTTCGGTTAGAAGTCCAGTGCTTATCGTATGACACCATACCAGGACTCCTTGCTAGCTCATAGGATATGCTTAATTTTATTTTCAATACAAGCAAACACCCACTGCCACTGAATCAATTTTGACTCAAAGCAACTCTATAGGGCAGAATAGAATTATTCTATAGGGTTACCAAGTACATCTTTACAGAAGCAGACTGCCTCATCTTTCTCCCTCAGAGTGGCTGATGGGTTTGAACTGCCTACCTTTTGGTTAACAGCTAGCTATATGATTTGTTGAATATAACACTGACGAGTTTTACATTCAGCAAATCATATACTTTGCTTCATTACAATGATTGCAATCCTTTCCATTTACCATCTGTTAACAGTATGTATCTTTATTCACGTAACTATTGCATTCCTCCCTGTGTCTCCCACTACTTTCATCTTTCCTCTGCTGACCACCCTCTTGTTGTATATTGTCTGCCCTGTCACTCATGTTAACATATGTTTATTGTCTAACCCATGAATTTTTCCCCTCCCTCTTCCCCCGAATCCATATCCATCATAGATTGCTTCTTTTATCAAGAAAACCTTTCTTAACTTTTAACATCATTGATCTCATATAATATTTGTCATTTTGTGGTTGGCTAATTTCATTCAGCATAATATCCTCCAGGTTCATCTTCAGCATTGTGTCATGTAATTAGAGAATAGAAGCATGTATACAGTTCTTTTTCACCATTCATGCAGCTCAGTTTAGGGTGGATTTGGCAGGTGTTGGTTACTGTCTGTCATTGATCAGGTGGTATAGGAATTGGTACTGACTCTTGCCCAGTGGGTAGAGCTGCAGAGGGTAGGGTTTTGGCTGGGCTGTGTGGGCATGGTTGTTGTCTCTTATTGGATGGGAAAGAGAAAACCACTCCCTCAGAAACAGGAAAACAAAAGAGACTAAACAAATAAAAAACCAACAATGAAAAGAGAAAATAATAATGAGGAAAGAAAAAAAACCAGGCAGCAACCAGAGAAAAAGGAATGTAATAGCTATAAAGGCAAGAGAGAGACAAGGAAATGGAGTTATAGAAGAGAAAAATAAGTGAGAAAATAAAAAAAATAAAAACTTAATATTTAAAACAGAAAAGAGGGACAGGAAAATGAAACTATAGAGTAGAAAAATAAGAGAATAAAAATAAGGGAGATGGAAGATGAAAAGAAAAGAGAAAGAGGGTAGAGAGTTGTAAAGAAAGATCAGAGTAATAAAAAATCAAAAAAGAAGAGAGGAAATGAGAAACAAGAAAAGACAGGAAAACAATGGCAGAGATAGAAAGAATACAATGCAAGGGAATGGAAAGAGAAGGAGGAGGAGAAAGAATAAGCAAACTAAAATAATGAAGCAAGAAAAAGGGAAGAAACAAACAAACAAACAAAAACAGTGTAGCTGTTTGACCTGTAGAGATGAAAATGCTGAGGGATTCCTCAAGCCAAGGATCTCACAAGGTGGGTATAAGAGGGATGTGACAGCGGAGTTCTTGGCCTAGATGGAATTCCTATAGACCTAGGCTTTATCTATGTTCAGGGCACTCAATCCAGAAGTAGTTTGGAGGCATTTGATGGAAATGGCTTCAGTGTCTGTTAGGACCACAGGGCAGCTGGAGGCAAGGTGAATGGTTAAGTGCTGGTCAGGTGGCTCTGCTCATTTTGTAGGTCTGTAGCTGAGTCCACCTGAATCTAGGTACCAAAGTGGCACAGCCAGCTCCCACCTCACACTGGTGTGGATCTAACTATGTAGCTCCAAACTCACCAAGAACAGGGTCTGTCCTGGGGATGGATGAAGGTGGGAGCTGGCCACACCTCTGGTCACCAGGGTAGCATGGGGGAAAAGAAGGGATCACAGCTTTACCATTGTGTGTGTGAATGTGCTCTACCAGGCTACCTTCTGATGCTGAAACTATTCACAAGATGTTCATGCCTCGTCTGACCAGCCATTCACCAATCTGTCTCCCTCTCTCATTGTCCCTCCTTAGTTTCTCCTCCCAGCATGCACTCAGTCCACTTCTCTAACCTTTCCTCTGAAGTTCAGGTTCCACGATTTTCACCTGTGTGTGTTTCAATTGTTGGTCTCTCAACAGCACCTCACAACAACAACATTCCACTGTATAGTTTGTTTATCCACTCATTTGTTGATGGACAGCTGGGTTGTTTCCACCTTTTGACTATTGTGACAAACGCTGCACTGAATATTGGTGTGGAGGTGTCTGAGTTCTAGCTTTCAAGTGTTTTTCTATAAGAGTGAAATTGCTGAGTCATAGGGTAGTTCTATGTTTCGGTTCTCGAGGAATGCCCAAGTATTTACCACAGTGGCTACACCATTACACAATCCCACCAGCAATGTACTAGGATTCCAATTTCTCTACATCCTCCCCAACACTATTATTTCCCATTTATTTGCTAATAGCCAACCTAGTAGGTGGAGTCATTTATTGTGTTTTGATTTGCATTTCCCTGATGATCAATGATGTTGAACATCTTTTCATGTATTCTCTTCCATCTTTTTTGCTGGTCCTGAATTTACTTTTTACGTACTTTGTTGTAAACTGCCTCTGAATCTTTATAGACTTAAAAGTGCAAGTGAAGGGGAATGATTAACTTTTCAGTCTAGGAGCAGAGGTCCCTAGGACCCTAGGAGAAGAGCAGAGAAGCAGTGATGCCTGAAATGGAGCCAGAGATGATGACGTGGAGCGATGGAGCAGCTGGAGACTTTAGATCCAGAGAGGGAGAGCGACTGTGTGCTGAAGACCTGGGGGGTGCAGGGGAAGGATTGCATGGAGGGGATTGTAACCATGGCAATGAGATGATATATGATAGAATGAATGTAAAACTAATGTTCTCCCATAATTATGTTCTCACATAATTCACAATAAAACATTTAAGAAAAATAAATAAATAAATAAAAATATAATCTAAAAAAAAAGTGCAAGTGAAGGGAGTAAGAATAATGGAAGTGGAAAGAGAAGGGAGGAGAAGCAGGGGTAATATGATTACAGTTTCTCTCCATAAGCAGGACAAGACTCTGTACCTCTTCAGGAGTTACCCAGGGCCTGGCAATAACGTGGTGTCTATTTCCCTACAGAGAAGGGCTGCCCCACCCACCACCTCTGCTGGCTCAGCCCAACCTCCCCTTTGGCTACCCAGTCTACGGGGTGGAGGTGATGCCCCTGCACACAGTTCCCATTCCAGGTAGGTGCATCCCCATCCTGGGAGAGAGCAGGTAGCTTTCGTCTTCCTGATGGGTCCGGCATTTTCTTTCATGGCAAAAGGAGGCTGGGAAGGGAACAATCGCCCTTAAGTGCTGTGCGCACAGCACAAAGCCAGAAGCTTGGCATGGTTTCATTGAAAATGCAGTGGTGTCACTAGAGGGTGTGTGTGTGGGGGGTGGGGGGTGCAGACTGCATCGAGTGACAAGGTCGAGGTGGGCGGGACATCCAAATGACTGTCCATAAAATATTTTGTGTATTGTTTTATCAGAAATTTATTATGTTTCATAAAACTATCCATGTAGGTAATTATAACAGCAAAAATATTTTAAGTTCAGCATACATGCATCAATGTGCCTACTGGGCTAATTTGTTGTTGTTGTTAAGTGCCATCGAGTCGGCTCTAACCCATAGCCACCCTGTATAGGGTTTCCAAGGAGCAGCTGGTGAGCTTGAACCGCCAACCTTGCAGTTCAAACGGCTTTGCAGTCTGACGCATTAACCCACAGCGCCACACCAGGACTCCACAGGGCTAATGCTCTCTGCTAATTTACTTTTGGAATCTTCTAATGTGCTCAGGGCAGAGCTGTCATTATTATCTAGCTACAATGATGGTTTTATCTGCTACAAGTTACAGGTTGTTTTTGTTGCTGCTGGTACTTATATAGTTATTGGCTTTGTCAAAGTTTCTGGTATTTTAGCTACAATATTGTGGTCATTTGCATTTGTGAACCTGTATTGATAACTTGTTGAGAATGAAGTAGCAGTTAAAGGAAAAGAAGAAGAAAAATCAAAAAAGGCTTCTGGTTATTTACTAATATTGTTATAACTAATGATATTGTAACAAGGTAGAAAGATGTAAAACGATTTTGTTGTGAGTATTCATGAAATCTAAGAAATATTACATTTAAGCAATGTACATGATAAAAATTAATAATGGACATCACTAAGGATTTTATAGGGTCTGGTCCAGGAAGTGGGCCCATAGGGGGTGGGGGGATAATGCTATGAGCTACTGTATTGGAGGGTATCAGCTCTTAGTGACACACTAAGTGAATGTTAGTCTCATTGTTTCCACAACCGGGAATCTCCCTTAGCAGCCGTGACCTATCGGGGTAGACAGAAATCTGTGTGCTTCAAAAAATGCTAAGATAAATTAATTGGTTTTGTGATGTCAACCTACATAATAGTAGTCAGCAAAGCACACATGTATCTCCAGGAAATGCATTCTGGAAAGAGTATTTATGTCAGCTGCAACTCCTCTTCACAGTGGAGTTGTGCACACCTCTGTAGTTCAACATTACCTTCCATATCAAAGGCTGGCACAAATAGTTAAGCACTTGACCATATTAACTGAAAGGATAGCAGTTCACATCCACCCAGAGAGGTCCTGTAAGAATGGCCTGAAAGATCACAGCCATGAAAAGCTTATGGAACATAGTTCTAGTCTGAAACCCACATGGTCACATGAGTTGGAATCCACACCATGGCAACTGATTTGTCTTGTTTTGTTGGGTTTGCTTTCCCATATCAAAGGGAAGTAGAATATTATCAGGAGAGAGAAGCCAGAGAGGCATAAACCTGTAGATATAAATGTCCTCACCCCAAGTTCCTAAATGGTAAACTCAATGGGCCCATCCAGTGAACTCTTCTGCTCTGAGCTCATGGCATCTTGAGACAAATAACCCATCGCAGGAAAAGACCCAGCCAGGAGGGTCTGGGTGGTAGTGACACTGGGGGATCTGGCATGCCTTGTGGATCTAGCTGTGTTCTGTCTAGATCCAGCACCAGCAATCAAGACAGACACCCAAATTACACAAACCCACACATCCAATGGGGTGAAGATGAGTGTGTATGCCTTGAGACAGGCAGGAGTATAGTATGTCAATGGATGGCCCTACCTACAGAGAAGGAAATGCAGGTGTCAGAGCTGTAGTGGGCCATCCCAGACTGGGGAGAGAGGGCTGGAAGATGTGGGACTGAGGGTGCAGCCCCTAAGCTGGATGAGCATGGCTCACTTTGATTCCATTCTAGGCATCCTTCCTTTTAAATTGACCTCCCATTTACAACAATCCTATGAGGTAAATAATTATTTTGCCAGTTTCAGAGAAGATGAAAATTTAATAAGTTATCTATAGGCCACAAAGGGAGTATGTGTTGGAATTAGAATTTAGTCATATTCTAAGAACATAAATACATTCTAAAGTAAATATGCTTAGAGTGGGTTGCTGGTGTTTCTAAATAGCTAGTTTCAAATAATTTATCATTTTGGATGATTCACAATTTATCCATTGCTTCCTTCCCTTCAGTACCAAAGAATTAATTCATGGCACCCATCTAAAGCTGTGACAGGGAATTAGAGATTTTAGGCCTTGGGACGAATGATGGAAGACCATCTTACAGAGTAAGCATTCTAGACTTGAAGGGACTCTTGAAAGATGAGTCAGCTAGATGTGTGAAAGGATTAAAGAGTCCAAACATCCTCTCAGATGGTGGGCTTTTTGTTTTTGTCCTTTTCCCTGTGTGCTCCAGGTCTTCAGTTTGACGGACCAGATGCTCATCTCTATGAGGTAAGAGTCCCCTTTCAAGCCCCTCTCTATCCTTAACATCCTGTTCTGTGCTCACTGCCCATGCCCCCTCCTCCCAAATATGACTGACCTAAGACTCTGACAGACATTCCAATCCATATTTACCTGGGTTAAATATCAGCTGTGAATCCTAGGCTGGGGGAAGGGGCTGGGATGTATGCAGAGGTATGGGTTTCCCCAGTCAGAGTACTGACTAGAGTTCTAGGGAAGACTGCCAAGACCATACCAAAGAACTGGGTCACCAAGAGGACTCCTGCCAATACTACAGGCTCCTGCCCCATGTTGCCCCCTGGCAGAGCTAGTGCCAGCAGAATGGTTGTTCTGTGCCCTCCTTTCCACCCCCCACTCAATTTAGCTCCAAACCAAGGTCTCATGTAAGCATATCTGATTGTTGCTGTTAAGTGCCATTGAGTCGGTTCTGACTCATAGTGACCCTGTACTGGGTTTTCAAAGAGCAGCTGGTGAGCTTGAACCACTTTGTGGTTCAAACTGACCTTATAGTCCAGCACATTAACCCATAGCGCCACACCAGGACTAGTGGGAACTACACCTAAAATCCTAACTAAAATGTGTCTGGTTGGAGGTCTTTCACTCCATGGGCTCAAAATTTACTACACAGCCGCAGTAGTCAAAACAGTCTGGTACTGGTACAAAAGGTACATAGATCAATGGAACAGAATTGAGAACCCAGAAGTAAATCCATCCACACACAGTCAGCTGATCTTTGACAGAGAGTCACAACACAATAAATGAGGAAGAGATAGTTGCTTCAACAAATGGTGCTGGCAAAACTGGAAGAATGAAACAAGATCTCTATCTCACACCATGTACAAAAATAAACTCAATGTGGATTAAAGACCTAAGTGTAAAACCTAGAACTATAAAAATCATCAATGAAAAAATAGGGACAAACTTAGGGGCTCTAATATATGGCATAAATACACTGTCAAACATAACTAAAACCACACAAACAGTAGAAGACAAAATAGATGACTGGGACCTCATAAAATTTAGACACTTATGTGTATCAAAAGATTTCACCAAAAGAGTAAAAAGGGAACCCACAGATTGGGGGGAAATTTTTTCACAACATATCAGACAAGGTACTAGTCTCTAAAATTCATAGAAAACCACAACATGTTGACAAGAAAAAGACAAACAAACCAATTAAAAATTGGACACAGGACATGAGCAGACACTTCACCATGGAAGACATTCAGGTGGCCAACAAACATATGAAGAAATGTTCATGATCTTTAGCCATTAGAAAGATGCAAATCAAAACAATGAGATACCATCTCACACCAGGATTAATAGCAAAGTTAAAGGAAACCACAAAATAGCAAAGTTATAATAATAATAGTAATAATAATTAAAAGATAAGGGTGTGGATAGACTGGGGCCCTCTTACACTGCTGGTGGGACAGTAAAATGGTTCAGCCAATTACTGTCAATCAAAAACTTTCTGAGCTTCCTCAGAAAGTTGGAAATAGAAATATCGTATGACCCAGTAATCCCTCTTCTTGGTATATATCCACAAGAAGCAAGATCCAGAACATGAGTCGATAGATCTATGCTCACCAATGGTCATTGTAGCACTATTCACAATAGCAAAAGATGGAGACAGCCTAAATGCCCATAAATGGAAGAATGGATAAAGAAACTTTGGTGCATACCCACAACGGAATACAATGCAACATTAAAGAATAATGAAGAATCTGTGAAGCACCACGTAACATGGATGAAACTGGAAGACATTATACTGAGTGAAATTAGCCAATCACAAAAGGACAAATATTGCATAAAGCCACTCTTGTAAGATCTCAAGGAAAGATTTTCATGCTAAAAGAAACATTCTTTGATGGTTACCAGGGGTGGGAGGGAAGGGAGAGTAATTCACTGGTCATAAGACAACATACAAGAAGTGGGATGTTGGTAGAAGAATGATGAAGACAGGGAAGTACACAAGGGCCAAAAAGGATGGAGGTAAATAGTGATATATACACTACCTTGGAACAACAGTGTCCTGTGGATAGATACATGGACAGAGATACAGGCTGAGTGGGTATGGGAGGACAAGTGGGAGTATACCCATAGTAATGGTTTTTGCCTTTCCTGCAAGTGCAACTATGATTGTGGTGTGGTGGAGCATACAGTTGGCAAAATGATGAAAACTTCTTAGATATTATTAAATATCTTAAGGCAATGAGTTGCTGGGACCGGGGGCTCAGGACCAAAGTCTCAGGGGACAGCATGATCAATTGGCATAACATAGTTCACAAAGACAATACTCTACGTCCTACTTTAGGGAGTAGCGTCGGGTATCTTAAAAGCTCACCAGCAGCCACCTAAGGTTCAACTATTGGTCTCTCCATGTGTGGAAGAAAGACGAGTGATGAGAATTGAATATGCTTGGAACCAATTAGTCCAGCAGATTAATGGAACATGTGAAAATCAGTCTCCACAACTCTGAGACCAGAAAGACTAAATGATGCCTGGCTACCACTACCAAAAGCTCTGAAAGGGATCACATTAGAAGGAAATGTGAAACAAAACTCAAAATTATTAACAATAATAATAAAAATAACAAAGACTGAGCTTACTGATCAGAGAGAGACTGGAGGAATCTGAGATTATGCCTCCTGACCACCCTTCAAATCTAGAAAGGAACCCACCCTCATGGCCCAATTTTTAGCCAAGCAATTGATGGGTATGTGGGGGGTGGGGTGCAACAACACTGGTGAGATATGCTTGCCCTGAAAAGGTTAATCATTCAAAATCGAAAGGGCAGCACTTCCCTAAGGACAAAGTTGAGAAGGGCTGGGAAGGTGAGCGGAATGGAAATAGGAACCCCAGGAAAGAAGCAAGCAGGGGACTACAGTCATTGAGATGAAACAGTCTATGATTGGTTGAATGCAAAACTGAGGATCTTGTCTGTAAACCTTCACTCAATTCACAATAAAGAGTTTTTGTTTTTATTTTGTTTTTTAAAAAAGGTGTCAGGGGAATGTGTTTTTAGTTTTCCCAAGTCTGTATGTTAGACAGAGGTTAGAATAGTAATGGGTAAGCAAATACAATAACTTACTATATCTACTACACTGAGACTAGAAAAAATAGATGGTACCACTACCGACTGCTCTGAAAGGAATCATATTAGAAGGTTGAGTGGGAGAAAAATGTGGAATAAAACTCAAAATCATAAAAGAAACCAGGGTTACTGGTCAGATAGAAACTGTTGGAAGCCCGAGAGCATGTCACTTAGTCACTCTTTGGGTCTATAAATGAACTCTCTCCTGTGTTTCAATTTTCAGACAAACAACAGACGGTTCTATAGGGAAACAATAACACTAGGGAGGTATGTTGTTGGTGTTACATGCCGTCAAGTTGGTTCCGACCCATAGCAACCCTGTATAGGTTTTCTGAGGAACGGCTGGTGAGCTTGCACCACTGACCTTGAGGTTCAAACCAACTTTGTAGTCTAGTGCATTAACCCAAAGCGCCACACTATGAACACCTTAAAGTAATCAAACATTTGAGATCAAAAGGATAACATTTACTGAAGGGTTAGGAAAGAAGGAGAAATGGAACCAGAAAACATAAGGAGAAAGTGGGATTAGCAATATTTCACTGTGGAGATTGCAATCAATGAGATGAAACAAAATGTATATAAAGTGTTGAATGGAAAACTGATTTGCTTTGTAAACCTTCACAGTAAAAACCTTTTTTTCCCGAAAGCTACTCTTTTCACCTCCTCTGTTCTCCTGCCTCCAGCCACTGTTCCTTTCCCGTTACTCTGTTATCTTCTTTATGACACTTATCTGTACTTGAGTTGCCTTATATATGTGATTATATGCTTATTACCTCCCTTTCCCACTATTTTCTCAGTGCCTGTATCTTGATTCTCAGAAAATATCTGTTGACTGATTGACTAAGAGGTTTTCAGCAGGAGCAACATAATCCAGTTTACTTTTCATGAAGAAAACTGACTTTTGTAGAAGACAAGGCAAGAAAAGATGGTGACTTGGAATAGAGGCCCAATGCAGATGGAAAGAAGTGGACCAATTCTAACTAGATTAAAGGTAGAACTGACAGGACTCCCTAGTAGAATGGAGTAGGTGTGAGGGGTGTGGAGAACAAGATGGCTTTCATTTGGGGATTTGAACAGTTGAACTGATGATGGTACCATCCCGAGAACTGAAGAGAGGGAGGGAAATTCATTTATAGAGAAAAATCAGCTGTTCAGTGTTGAAGAGAGTGAGTGTAAAGTTGCTTGTCAAACTTCTGAGCAGAGCAACGTATTACAGCAAGAGATGAGCAGAAGTCATCAGCATAGACCCAGCATTTAAAGCCCTGGGAATGGATGAAATCCCATACCACGAAGGTGTAGAGTAAGAAGGGAAAAGGGCCTAGAACCCAAAACTGAAGAACTCCCTTTGATGTCAGACAGAGACAGAGGAGGAGTGGGCAAAGAAAAGGCAAAAAGGAGAAGTTGGTGGATTAAGAAGAAATCTGGAAGACTGGTTCCCTGCAAACAAAAACTACTAGTGTTTGAGATGCCCTACAGAAAAAGAGGAAGACCCCCAGTGAGATGGACTGGCAAAATGGCAGCATCAATGGGGTCAAGTGTGGCAACAATTGTGAGGTTGGCCCAGTACCGGGCAGTGTTTCGTTCTGTTGTGCATAGGGTCACTATGAGTCAGTACCAACTCGATGGCACCTAACAACAACAATTCTTGACTGACGCTTCTCCTGTCATCTGTGTGCTCTGCCTTGCTTGCCATCCTGAATATGTGCCTTTGCTGAAGGACAAGCATTTTCCAGCCTCTGCATTTAACGTCTTTCTACGTCGCCCTCCCTAGGTTACCCTGACAGCTACTCTGGGGACGCTGAACACCCTTGCTGACACTCCAGATAGTGTGGTACATGGCAGAGGCCAGAAGCAGCTGATCATTTCGACCAGTAACCGGGAGCTTTTGAATTTCATCCTTCAGCATGTGACATACACCAGCACAGTATACCAGCCCAAACGGGTGGACATGGGTGAGATCCTGTTCCTGGATTGCAAAGTGCTCAGGGAGTCTTTTCTCCTCCAGGAAACACAACTGTATTTAAAATCTTCCTGTTGCTCCTGTCTCTAATCCCAGATATCTAACTTCCAGTTGCAGTACCCAACACTGGACTCCACTGGTGCAGTGGCTAAGCACTTGGCTATTCATTGAAAGGCAATTTGAACCCACTAGCTGGGAGAAAGATGTGACAGTCTGCTTCCATAAAGATTATACCCTATGGGGCAATTCTACTCTATAGTCAGGATCGACTCAATATCAGTGGATGGCTGATACAATTTGGCTGCCAACTCCAACTGAAAGGCTGGTTGTTCAAATCCACTCAGAGGTACCTCAAAAGAAAGACCTGGTGATCTGCCTCCAAAATGTCATCCATTGAAATCTCAGTGAAGCACAGTTTTACTCTGACACACGTGGGGTTGTATGAGCCAGAGTGGACTTAATGGCAACTAGTTTGGTTTATTTCAAATAGCAAATGGCAAAGTCAGAACTTAATCCTGATCTTCTGATTCTAAATCCAGTGCTAACTTCAGTCCCCCAGATTCTCCTAGAAGAAGAAATGTGGGCTTAGAAGGCATTCAGCAGAGTGCCCAAGGGACAATCAGCAAATCAAGAACCATATTGAGACTAGAGACTAATTCATAGACTCTCTGGGCTACTCAAAGGAGCTCTGGTAGCGTAATGGTTACGAATCGGGCTGCGAACCTTAAGGTCAGCAGTTCAAGACTACCAGCTGTTCCACGGTAGAAAGAAGAGGCTTTCTGCTCCTGTAAAGATTTACAGCCTCGGAAACCCTATACAGGGTCGCTATGAGTCGGAACCGACTCCATGGCACATAACCACCACCACCACCACCACCTAGTCTACTCAATCTCCTTCCAGCCAGGACTTCCCTAACAAACTTCACTCTTCCATCAAGTTTGCATTCTGGGGGATAGTGTGGAGGGTGATTCAGATTTGATGATGCCTTTCTTCTTCCAGTAAGTCTAGAATGGAACTCCTCGGTGGTCAAGTTTCCAGTGATCATCCATCAGCCTATCATCCCCAAGTTATATGACCCTGGACCAGGTAAGACTCTTGTCCCTGGGGCCCCATGGTGGGCGCTATTGGAGAAATTCACAAGGGATCATCTCAGAGATGGAGGAAGGAGAGTTGATAAAAATAACAATTGGGATATGATTCCTAAGCTGACAAAATTTGGAAGGAAAAAATTCAAGGGCATACTCCCTTAATAAGGCTTCACTATACTTACATGGTTGGTACTTCTATTGAAAAAAAAATTAATGAATTATACCATTTTGATAAATAATTGTATTTGAAACAATGGTGCTAGAGCAAGAAGTGATATTTATCAATGAAATGAAATTGAAAATCCAGAAATAGATCTCATACATGCTGGAGTATGTCTTGAAGCTAGCTGGGATAAAGCTAGATTTCCAAATCAAAGATGGGAGGAAGATGGATTCATCGAGAATCGTCTGGGGTGTCCCAATACCGTTTATTTTTTTCCCTTCCTTCCTTGTTTGTCTTGCCCCACAAATGCAGGGGTCTGAATTGGGGCTTTGTTAGGTTCCATTGATCTGTTTGTGTACCCTTAGACTAATTCCAGAGTGTTTTAATTACCAAGACTTTATGACAGATTTTGATCTCTGATGAGGACAAACCCTCTCTCACTCTACTGCAGTTACAAAATTTTCTGAACTTTCCTTAGTCTCTTTTCCATTAGAATTTTAAGATCATATGAACATCTTATCAATATCCCTCTTATCAAGGGATTTTCTAAAATCCCTTAAGATTTTGACTGGATTGGCATTGAATTTATAGATTGATTGGAGTTGAATCGGCAACTTAATAGAAGTGAATATTCCAAGCCATGAGTCTTATATCTCTCAGCATACATTTTGGTCACTTTACAGTTTCTTCAATCATTTTTCTGTGGTTTTATTTGTAAAGGAGTTTCACATATCTTATTGGATTGAGGCTTTGTTTGTTGTTGTTAAGTGCTGTCAAGTAAATTTCAACTCATAGCCACTCTATGTGCAAAGAACGAAACTCTACATACGCGGTCTTGTGCCATCCTTACTCCTTGCTCTGTTGGAGCCCATTGTTGCAGCAACTATGTCAAACCTTCTCATTGAGGGGCCTCCTCTTTTTCACTGGCCCTCTACTTTACCAAGCATGACGTCCTTTTTCCGAGACTGGTCCCACTTGATAATATGTCCAAAGTAAGTGAGACAAAGTCTTGCTATCCTCGCTTCTAAGGAACATTCTGGTTGTACTTTTTTCAAGATAGATCTGTTCTTCTGGCAGTCCATAGTACACTCAATGTTCTCCACCATCATTCAAGTGCATCAATTCTTCTGTCTTCTTATTTCTTGTCCAACTTTCACATGTACATGGGACTGGTCCTCAAAGTGACATCTTTGCTTTTTTAATGCTTTATAGATTTGCCTAATGCAGTATGTCATTTGATTTAGTCTTAGGTTTTTGGTGGTGGTGTTAAGTGCCATTGAGTCAGTTCCAACCCATAGTGGCCCTGTATAAGGTTTCCAAGGAATGGTTGGAGAGCTTGAACTGCCAACCTTGTGGTTCAAACCAATTTTGCAGTCCAGCACATTAACCCACAGCGCCACATCAGTCTTGTTGTTGTTGTTAAGTGCTGTTGAGTCAGTTCCAACCCATAACGACCCTGTATAGGGTTTCCAAGGAGTGGCTGGTGAACTTGAACCGCCAACCTTGCAGTTCAAACAGCTTTACAGTCTGGCACATTAAACCCACAGCACCTCACCAGGACTCCACATAAGTCTTAGGTACTGCTTATTTTTATTGTTATTGTGAATTTTATCTTTTCTTCACATTTTACATTGAAATCTGTGAGCGTCAGAACGCAACGAGACTGCCTTGTTTTTGCAGCTCTCTAAGTTTTTAGTGTTTCTTCTCTGACAAATTTCTGCTTTACCCAGGTTTAAGCTTTCAGAGGTTTTTCTGTAATTGGTTATTATTGGTATACAGGAATATTAGTGATTTTTTGAGTGTTGAACTTATAAATAGCAAGCACCCTTGCTGTGCTCTCTTCTAACTGGTGCTGTAGGCTCGTCACTGGACTGTGAACCACAAGGTTGACAGTTTAAACCCACCAGCTGTTCCTTGGAAACCCTATACTGGGTCACTATGAGTCTGCACTGACTCAATAGCACTTAACAGCAACATTTTTAATATATAGAATTTCTCAGACAAATAATGATCATTTTTGTCTCTTTTTTTCTCAATTCTTATAATTTGCTTATTTTTCTTTTCTTACTGCATTGGTTGAAATCCACAGTATAGTGCTGAAAGGTGGCAGTGATAATAGGCTGTCTTGTTTGCTCCACAATCTGACGTTTCAACATTAATGTTTTCTGTCTAGGAGTGTGGTGGATGGTTTAGGGGGAAAAGTTTTCTTCTATTAATATTGCTAAGAGTTTTTCTATTTCTAATTTCTCTTTTCTATTTCCTTGCTAAGAATGTTTATGATAAACGAGAATCAAATTTAATCAAATCATTTCTCTGCAGTTATTGAAATAATTTTTTTCCTCTAACTGGGTTCATGTGGTGATTTATAATGGTAGATTTTCTGTTGATGAAATCCTTGCCTTTCTGAATCAGTCCATCTTGATTGTGATGCATAAATTGATTAAAATCTGAATTAAATTAGCTACTTTATTATTCTTGTATTTGTTTTCAAAAGTGAGATTACCTTTACCTGCAATGTTATGCAAGTTTCAAAAATGAACTAGATGGTGTCCCCTTTTTACTATTTTGTGAAATGGATTATAATAGTAGAAATTATATGCCTCTTGAAGGTTAGTTAAAACTTATCTTGTACTTGTTTCTTTCTTTTTTACTTTTTTTTTTTTGTCCAAGTGGGGGACTAGAAGTGGGGATATGAATAGGAGGAAGAAAAGAATGAGCAAAAAATTAAACATCAACTCCACGTCTTTTCTGGTTATTGATCTATATGCACATTGAGTCAATTTTAGAAATGTTTCTATGAAATGATCCACATGATCTAAAATTTCCAATTTATCATCATAATTTTTAAAAAAATTTAACACATGAAGTTATGCTCCCAATTGGTTCTTAATAGTTCTTTTCAATAATTTTATGTTGTTTTCATATTCAAATATTCTTGTTCCATTTATGCTTATTTCATTTCAATTTTCTTTTTGCATATATGTGCTTTTTAAATGTCCTAATTATAGATCTTAAGCATTCGTATTTAAACCGTTTTCAGATTTCTCTGTTATTTTTCATTTATCTGAAGTGTGTTCATTTGCATGCAGTCTGTTCATTGGCTATTGTTCCTCTTACTCTTTTTCTTTGTTTTGGAAGTTTTGTTAGTTGGCTAATCTTGAGTAAGAGTCATTTGTTTCCTTGTTTGTTGTCTTCTCTCTTGTTCACTTTATCACTCTCACTCTGCCAGCTAACTTCTTCCCGTCTCCCAGTTTGACAACTGCTTTGGCCTCAGGTGGAACTATGGAACAACATGTATTAAAAAGGCAGTTCTGGAATGACTTCTGATTGCTGTCCGTCGGAGAGAGTGGTTCTGTAGTGAGGTTATGCAGCACTCAGTCACATACAATACGTAACGTGTGGCTTTCAGGATGTGTTGACTCCAGCTGACCACGCACTCACCCAGATACCACACACACTCCACTCTCAAGTGGGATTCCACAAAAGGTGGCTGAATCCCAAACACAAATCAGCAGCTCCAGGGGTTTTATCATGGGGTCTTTTCCATAGAAAAGCTGTTCCTTCTCCAACAAGTCACAGGCATTGAGATGGACAATGTGACCAAGGTCTTCTTAATCTGGGGATAGAGACCAGGTAGACTTCTCCCTAGGAAGTATAGATGACGGCAGGGGCAAATCTCATGACCTTTAGACCTTTCTCTTCTCAGACCTTGTGACCCTCTAGATTTGAACCCCTGATGGACAAAGTTCTGCCCATCTCAACCTTTAGTATTAAAGTGAAAACAAATGCAAAATGCAAGCAACATTTGGACAGATTGTATAAAATGAAGTGTTCAAATAGACAGTAGGAAAATGTCATAGATAGAAAAAGACTTAAAATTTCAATCAGCTGGGTACATCTTTAAGAATCTTGATTTTTCCAATCCAACTCACAAACTTTTAATAAGCACATACTGTGTATTAGGAGCATGGTGGCTCCATACAGTAAGCACTGGACTGCAAACCACAAGGTTCATCATTTAAACCCACAAGCCATTCTGCAGGAAAAAGATGAGGCTTTCTGCTCCTGTAAATATTTTTTCAAAAGCCTGAGAAACCCTATACAGGGTTGCTATGTGTTGGAACCAACTCAACAGCACTTAACAACAACAACAACAACTGAGTATTAAGGAAGGGACCCTGATGGCACAGTGGTTAAAGCACTCTGCTGCTAATGGAAAGATTGATAGTTCAAATCAACCAGTTGTTCCATGGGAGAAAGATGTGACAATCTGTTCCCATAAAGCTTTGGAAACTCTAAGAGACAGTTCTTTTCTATCCGACAGGGTTGTAAGGAGTCAGAATTGGCTTGATGACAATGGATTTGATTTGGTGATTTTGGTGTCTTAGGAGCATGAGGCCTATAAACACTGAAATGCTGGGGAGAAGCTATGAGATCAAACATTGCAAAACAGTGACGTTTATCACAAGGCAGACTCTGACATCCTCCCCCTTCTTGTGCAGAGAGAAAGCTCAGAGACCTGGTGACCATTGCCACCAAGACTTTCCTCCGTCCCCAAAAGTTCATGATCTTGCTCCAAAGCATTCGCAAGTATTACCCAGACTTGACCGTGATTGTGGCTGATGACAGCAAGGAACCATTGAAAATTAACGACAGCCACGTGGAGTATTACACCATGCCCTTTGGGAAGGTATGTTTCTCCAAGATAAAGAGACATCTGCATCCCAGGAATAGTGGGTCACCGAGTCAGGTCCTACCCTGGGTGGGACTGCTTCAGCTGCTTTCCCAAGGAGGGCTGTGAGTCCCCCTGTCACCTTCAAATTCACAGGAAAGTCGGGTCACCCTCAAATTTCTGCATTAATGGGATGGTTAATCCAGGCTTCCTTCTTATTTGGTGTGGGACTTTATTGGGGTCCTAATAAGTGATTTGAGATGATGAAGTCTTGGTGTGGTGCTGGGGGTTAATGCGCTGAACTGCAGTTGGTTTGAACCACAAGGTTGATGGTTCAAGCTCACCAACCACTCCTCGGAAACCCTAAACAGGGTCACAAAGGGTTGAAATCAACTTGACAACACTCAACAACAACAAACAACATCCTAAAGTTCCTGACAAATCAGATCCAACAGTACAGAAATCTTATATCTCTGTAATCGCATCCAAGCTGAAGCTTGGCAGTATCTCTCTCTCCTTGCCCGCTTCTTTCCTCTTATCCTTCCTACCCCTCTCTCTACTCCTCCCCACCCCGTGCCCCACCTTCCTTTAAGAAAACAGGAGGAAATGGACAAACCAGGGCTTCTAACGGGCTTATTCAGAAGAATCAACCTGAGAATCTTGTTAAAGTGTAAATTAGGATTCAGTATATCTGGGGTGAACAGGCAAATTCTCAACAGGAGGTTGAACCAGAGTGGATCGATTAAAAACCCTGGGATAAATACATCAGTGTGCTCCACCCCACCCCTGCCCCCAACATCTTCCAGGCCACCTAAGGAGTGATGGCAGAAGAGCCACAGAAATGCTGTCCAGTGAAAAAGGACTTAATTCGTATTAGCCACAAAGGCAAGAACTTTCTAGCCTTTCTTTGTTATTGTCTGTTCCTGAGAGTCACTGTCCTAGATGCATATCTATGGAAAATAGTGCCTATGACAATTCGTTTTAAGTGGCAGAAAGATCTCTTACACTAATGATGGAAATTTTGGTAGCAAATAGAGACTGCTTGTTGGCACCCTGCCTCCTCAATTGGTGCCCAGGGCATGCACCCTACCTACCATACCTTTGCAGTGTCCCTTCTTCCAGATTTCCATTGAGACAGGGGCTCCTATAACCCAGTGCATCTTAGCCAGGGCTTTGAACTGGTTCATTCTGGTTCAACCCTCTGCTGAAAATTTGCATTTCCACCCCAGAGATACGGAATCAGAATCTGCAGTAGATTCTGACTTGATATTTCTGGGGAGGAAGTGTAAATTCTCAGTAAGGGATTGAGCAAGAATGAACCAGCTTGAAGCCCTATTCTCTGCCTCATTGATTATCGGGTTCACTTTGAAGCTTTAAAAAATCCTGGTGCTTTATCACACCCCATGCTGTTGCTGTTAAGTGCCATCTTGTGGGTTCCAACTTCTAATGACCCCTATATACAAAGGGGGAGTCCTGGTGTGGCGCTGTGGGTTAATGCACCAGACTGCAAAGCCATTTGAACTGCAAGGTTGGCAGTTCAAGCTCAGCAGCTGCTCTTTGGGAACCCTATATGGGGTCGTTATGGGTCGGAATCGACTCGACAGCACTCAACAACAACAACATAAACAAAGGAAGGAGTCCTGGTGTGGCCCTGTGGGCTAATGCGTCAGGCTGCAAAGTCGTTTCAACTGCAAGGTTGGTGGTTCAATCTCACTAGCTGCTCCTTGGAAACCCTATACAGGGTCGCTATGGGTTGGAATCGACTCGATGGCACTTAACAACAACAACAAGCGATTTGAATACGTAGTCAGGGCTGGCAATCACTGATCTAATGTTCTTCTCATTTACAGGGTTGGTTTGCTGGTAGGAACCTGGCCATATCTCAGGTTACTACTAAGTATGTTCTCTGGGTGGATGATGACTTTCTCTTCAACGACAAAACTAAAATCGAGGTGCTGGTGGATGTCCTGGAAAAAACAGAACTAGATGTGGTAAGGAAGATGTTCTAGTGTCGACAGAAAATCAAAATCAAAAGGACCCACCTCTAGGATGGTAAAGGTTATAGTGGCAACAGCAGAGTCCAGGGAGTCCTAGAGTTAGAAACTCTCCTTGTTTTGGTTGTTAGGTGCTGTCGAGTCAGAACTAAACACTTCCCAGTCTTGTTCCATCTTCACAATCATTGTTAAGCTTGAGCCCATTACTGCTGTTGCCACTGTGCCAGTCCATCTCATTGGCAGTCTTCCCTTTTTTCGCGGACCCTCCACTTTACCTTGCATGATATCCTTCTCCAGGGACTGATCCCTCTGATAATATGTCTGAAGTATGAGAGACAAAATCGTGCTATCCTGGCTTCTAAGGAGCATTCGGGATGTAATGCTTCTAATACAGATCTGTTTGTTCTTCAGTCCATGGTACATTTAATATTCTTCTCCAGCACCGTAATTCACATGCATCAATTCTTCTATGGTCTTCCTTATCTACTGTCCAACTTTCACATACATATGACGCTATTGAAACTACCATGACTTGGGTCAGGAGCATCTTAGTTCTCAAACTGACATCTTTGCTCTTCAACACTTTAAAGAGGTCTTGTGCAGCAGATTTGCCTAATATAATATGTCATTTAATTTACTGACTGCTGCTTCCATGAAAGTTGTTAGTAGATCCAAGCAAAATAAAGACTTTGACAACAACAATCTTTTCTCCATTTATCAGGACGTTATTTATTGGTCCAGTGGTGAGGATATTTTTCTTCTTTACACTGAGGTGCAACCCATACCAAAGGCTGTGGTCTTTGATCTTCATCAATAAATATTTTAAGTCCTCTTTTCCTTCAGCAAGCAAGGTTGTATTATCTGCAAATCACAGATTGTTAATGAGTCTTCTGCCAATCCTGATGTCACATTCTTCTTCATATAATCCAGCTTCTCAGATTATTTCCTCAACATACAGATTGAATAAGTATGGGGAAAGAATACAACCTGGCACTCACCTTTCCTGATTTTAAACCATTCAGTGTCCTCTTGTTCTATTTGAATGATTGCCTCTTGTCTATGTACATGTTTTTCATGAGCACTATTAAGTGTTCTGGAATACTCATTCTCTGCAATGTTGTCTGTAGCTTGTCATGATCCACATTGTCAAAAGCCTTTGCATAGTCAGTAAAACACACGTAAACATCTTTCTGGTATTCTCTGCTTTCAGTCAAGATCCATCTACATACTTTCTCTTCTGAATCCAGTTTGAGCCTCTGGCAGTTCCTTGTCAATGTACTGTTGCAACCATTTAAAAATTATCTTTAGCAAAAATTTACTTGCATGTGATATTAATGATATTGTCCCATGATTTCCACATTCTGTTGAATCTTCTCTCTTTGGAATGGGCACAAATATGGATTTCTTCCAATCAGTTGGCCAGGTAGCTATTCTCCATAGGACATAGATGAATGAGTGCCCCTGTGCTGCATCAATTTGTTAAAAGATTTCAATTTGTATTCCATCAATTCCTGGAGCCTTGTTCTTTGCCAATGATTTCAGTGCACTTTGAACTTCTTTCTTCAGTACCACTGGCTCTTGATCATATGCTACCTCTTGAAATGGTTGAACATCGACCATTTCTTTTTGGTACACTAACTCTGCATTCCTTCCATCTTCTTTTGATGCTTTTTGCATCATTTAATATTTTTCCCATAGACTCCTTCAATATTGCAAGTTGAGGCTTGAATCTTTTCTTAAGTTCTTTCAGCTTGAGAAATACTAAGTGGGTTCTTCCCTTTTGGTTTTCTAACTCCAGGTCTTTGCACATTTTATTATAAAACTTGACTTTGCTTCTTGTACTGCCCTTTGAATTTCCTATTCAACTCTTTTACTTCCTCATTTCTTCCATTTGCTTTTAGTATTTCTTTGCTGGACAGCAAGTTTCAGAGTCTCTTCTGACATCCATTTTGGTCTTTTCCTTCTTTCTTGTCTTCTTAATGACCTTTTGCTTTCTTGATGTCATCCTATAACTCTTCTGGTCTGTCATTAGTGTCTAATGCATCAAATCTATTCTTGAGATGATCTCAAAATTTAGGTGGAATATATGTTCAAGGTAAATTTTTGGTTATCATTAATTTGTTTTCATTTTCTTCAGCTTCAGCCTAAACTTGCCTATGAGCAATTGATGGTCTGTTCCACAGTCTGCCCCTGGCCTTGTTTTGGCTGGTGATATGGAGTGTTAAACCATCTCTTCCCACAGATGCAGTCAATTTGATTTCTGTGTATGCCATCTGGTGAGGTCCATGTGCATAGTCGTCTTTTATGTTGTTTAAAAATGGTATTTGCAATGAACAAGTAACCGGTCTTGCAAAATTCTGGTATGACAATAATCTGGTGTTATTCATCATGTTTCACTAGTCAATATTCTGATGCTATCTGACAGTGTTCCACTGCTATTCATAAGGTTTCAGTGGATAAATATTGAGAAGTAGCCCGTCTCTTCTTCTTCCTAGTCTAGACACTCAGCTGAAACCTGTCCACCATGGGTGTACCCTGCTGAAACTGAAAACACCAGTGGCATAGCTTCCAACATCACAACAACACGCAATCTACCACAGCAGGAAAAACTGACAGCCAAGGGTGGTGGACAAGAATGGAGGACTATAGTGGACAACTCTTACTTTTTCTTTAATGTTATGTAAATTTGTTCTCACTTTAAAATGATTGAACCAACACCTACTCACAACAAATTCTTCATCACAATCAACTTCTCTTGCTGCCTGTGCAACTTTTAAGTCATTGAAGATATACTTGAGCCTTTTCCTGCATTAATCAAAAAACAAAAACAAACCACTGTCTTCTAGTCACTTCTGACTCATAAAATAAGGCTAAATAAGAACTGTACGCACCTACAAATTTGACTTAAAGACTTATTTAGACTTAAAGGCACACTTAGGAACGGATCTCATATGTACCAGAGACTGTCTGTAACTGAGGAATAACTGAAAGGGTGTCGTTCTCATTATAACTGAGGTGCAGGTCCAGGCTTCCTGGAGGAGGCAAGAGAATGTTGACTCTGTGCTCTCTAATGCAAATTTCTCTGTCCACTGGGTAGGTAGGTGGCAGTGTGCTTGGAAATGTGTTCCAGTTTAAGCTGTTGCTGGAACAGGGTGAGAACGGAGATTGTATTCACCGTAAAACAGGATCTTTTCGGCCCCTGGACAACTTCCCCAACTGTGTGGTGACAAGTGTCGTTGTCAATTTCTTCCTGGCCCACACTGAGCAACTCCGAAAAGTTGGCTTCGATCCCCGCCTGCAACGAGTGGCTCATTCAGGTGAGAAGGTTAGAAGAGTGAAGGTTACAAAGGGAGCCAGGCTGTGAAGTCACTTGAAAAGTTTTTGCTTTCCAAGGGCCATGCTCCATGGTCTCTTGTCCAGCAACAGTGGATCTCGTGTTTCACCCCCTACTCAAGAGCTCACAGTCTTTCTTGTCTCCTTCTTTGCCCTCTATTTGACTTTTGTATCTCCCATAAGCTGTCTCTATCCTCCCTTTCCCTGCCTCCATCTCTTCCCTCTTTACCCACCCACTTCACATTCTTTTTCCAGAAGAACAATTTACCAATGGAAAAGACTTCCCATTTAAAGAAATCTTTCCCCACTAGTTAATTATCCTCTCTTTTTCTCCTCTCATCCTTCTAGTCCTGGAGTCCACAGTTCTGTCTACTTGGAAAGTTCATCTGTAGCTCTCTGATTCTGGGCCCATAACTCTGCCTGAGATATGTGCTTATTTAATTCCTTCCGATACATGGGCAAGTTCCAAGAGTTAAGGTTGTGGGTCCTGCATGGGGCTGACCTTGCCCAGGCTCTACTCTCCGATCTGCATCTATGACTGAAATTCACAGTTCCTTCTGCTCTCCTTCTCCTTGCAGAGTTCTTTATTGATGGGCTAGGAAGCCTATTTGTGGGTTCTTGTCCCGAAGTGATTGTAAGTCACCAACCCCATTCTAAAGTGCTGGACTGGAAAATGACTGACTTGGAGAAGACTTACAGAGCCTACCGGACCAACACCAAGGCCCAGATCCAATTCAAGCTAGCTCTCCACTACTTTAAGAACCATCTGCAATGTTCCACATAAAGATTCAGGGGCATATAAAAAGCACTAGACTGACTGGTGTGGGTATTTAGAACAATGGGACTGGTGTTAGGGCTGCCAACAAATGGACTACTGATAGGATGAGTATCATAATTAAACCAACTGATGGGTAGAGGCTAACGGGTCATAGGCCAGACCTCAAAAATCAGACCTCAGCACACACCTTGAGCTGTATTTCTGTCTTATAAATACCTGTTGCTATTGTTAAGTGCCATTGAGTCAGTTCTGACTCATAGTTACCCCACTGTAGGGTTTCTGAGCCTGTAAATTTTTGCGGGAGGAAAAAGCCGCATGTTCCTCCTCTGGAGTGACTAGTAGGAGGCTCAAACCACCAACCTTATAGTCAGCAGTTCAGTGTTTATCCTACAGAGCTGTCGTGCTCCCTATAAAGGACTAGATAATAAATATTTTGAGTTTTCTGGGTAACATAATTTATTAGAAACACCAATTAAAGGTTAAGGGTCATTAGAAATGGACCAGTCACTAACCAGGGCAATAGAAACTGTATTCGTAACAAAATGATCACTTACGAAGCATTAACACACAGTATTTAACACTATCTCTTTTGATCTATTTCATTTGATCGCTCATAAAAGAGCTGAAGAAAGAAATTCAAAGTGCACTGAAGTCATTGGCAAAGAACAAGGCTCCAGGAATACAAATTGATGGGCTGGTATCCACAGTGAAAAGAATGTCTAATGGGTCCTTGAGGATCCTTTTGTGTAAATTTCATCACAATCAGTAGAACTTTGTCACTTTCACCCACACACTTTTATTTGGTCCTACCTGTGGACTCAAAAAAAAAAAAAAAAGAAATGTGAATAACCAAGGGTTATCTCGATGGTAAGGAGCACTG